CAGCGCAGAAGTTGCGCGTAAGATGTTGGTCCCGTACGGAAACACGATTGTCACTAAAAAGTCGCCGTTTACGGAACCTTCGGCCGCCTTTTGTTCCCAATAATTTTATTATTTATAGCGGCCCCGCAATGCTGCCGCGCCGCAAAATCTCGGCCGTCCGCCGCTGATTCGCCGCAACGCTCCCGGTAATGCACGTTCTAGCGCAGATTTACGATTAAGATCACCAAAATCCAGCGTAGATCATGTGTGGGTGCTTAACTTTTAACGGGGGGTGAAGAACATAGAGTATTTTTCATATGTTTTTAGCTGTTTTTAATTGCTAGAAAGTTACAAATAAATTTCTAAAAATTATTTGAAAAATTGAAATTGAGAGTTTTTGGACCAATTTTTCAACATTCCTAAAGAAATATAACGAAGATAAAAATTATCTATGTATAAAAAATAGTGTTTGTGTGCCCAGAGGATATCTCGATTGGGAAGTAGTTTGAAGGTGTTTGATAGCTCATTAGATGCGTGGTACCCCGGGAGATGACCGTTATCGGAAAGTTTCTTATCAGTTTTTTTGGAAAAATGGCTTGTTCGTTACATAGTTTAAGTTATATTTATGTAACTGGTTTATATTTCGTTATAAAGCCGTACAAAATTCCTGAGGGAAAAGCTGAAGCCAATCCATTTACAGGGGTTCGACCGGGACGCCCCGCCGGGACTGCGCGCGGCTCGTCGCCGCTCGGGATCGCCAGATCGCCGTGATCGCCGTGATCAGTACGCGCGACCACACTGAAGTGACCAGCTGTAAGAAGGACTGTCGGGATTGGATTGGGGATCGGGGTGGTCGGTCATTGTAATAAAGTTCTCTTGATTTTCAGCCTAGCTACCTAATAACCTTCTCTTGTTTAGACGCGTGCACGATCCATCGCCTCGAGCGGTTTTATGCCCGAGGGTTCCGCGAGGATATGGTCAACCGCCGAGTCAAGGCCCCGAAATAGTCCGACAAGAAGCAACAACTTAAAGCAAGCAAAAATGGTAAGAGTCAGGTTCACCGGGTTCAATCAAGCAGCCATAAATCCATAAATGCATAAATGTTGACTATTTGAGCGGAAATATCTTAGATTGCCAAGAATGATCACATTTTTAAAGCATTGCAATTTCTGAATTTGTTTAACTTTTGTCGATCCAAAACTAATAATAAAATTATCTATTATTTATCATCCATCATCATTACATTAGCGTCAAAGGATTGGCGAAAAAATCAAAAAACTCCTGTCGGCTAACACTGATTTCCAGGCCATCTTCACGGAAGGAGCGACAGCGAGGGAAGCGTGTAACGTAGGGCGGGTCTTCTCTACCTACTCGCCCTCATCTACTCGTCCAAATATGAAAAACAAATTATCTGTCTCTATCATATGAATAAACAGTTTTATTGAATTGATCAAAACATCAGTCAGATCTTCGAAGAAAGTACAGGGTGCGGAGAAAGTTTTCGGCGGGGCAAATAACTCTGTTACTCGAAACCTAGAAGTGTTATTCAGATTTTTTGAATTCGAGGCTGGAAAGTGAAGACTCATGCATCATATTTCAGGACTGGATTACCCAAATTCAGAGATTTTACCCGATTAGAACGACCGAAAAGATCATCTTAGAAACGCCCCCGGCACGCTGCTGTTTCGTTGATGTTACAGTACCCCCTGTGAGCTATCCATGGCCAAAAGGCGCAAAATTTTGCAGAGATGTTGACAATCCGGTGGTCTATCTTCCCACAAAATCTCAAGCAATTTTGATTCAATTCCAAAAAGTTATGACCCTTCTAATTTTGGTGAATTTTTGGTAGAGACGGGAAATCTCCTGCCAGTGGTCACAAAAGCCGAAGAGAACGGCTTTGCTAATTGGATTTAGCGTACGGATATTCTTAAACGACACCCCTTAAGCTAAAAAAAGAAAAATGATGCTTGAAACCAACGCTGGAAACAGCTAGGCGGTGCTGAACATCCTAAACGCTGCCGCCTTTCAGCCAAATCACCTAAGAATTCAGTTATTTCTGTTGACAAAGTAATAATATTGATATGGAATAATGCTAAGGAGTTGTTCTTTATAATCCGTAAGCTCGGAAGCCTGGCAGCCTGCTACGGAAAAATTTAACGCTTTTCTCTAAGGTTTAAGAAGGGCAAGGTAGTGCTATGGATACGCGCGATAAGCAACTCAAGCGCCGTTTTTCTGCCATAAGGGTATCGAAATCTATTACGTAACGCGCGTCGCGATGCCTGTCAAGTTCCTAGGTAATCCATAGCTAAAAAACTATGATTATCGCAATGGGCCAGCTTCCGTTCCGACGTGATGCTTCAAAAACCGATAATTGGATTGCGTAATGTGTTAGACCCTTTTCACTAGCAGGGCGTAGCTGCACCATTCGAAAGCCTTTGGAACGGCGAGTTTGCGACAGTCTTCAAAACCATGTTTTTATTTAAATGCGCTATTTACAAGCCACTTTGTAAAATTTTACAGTTTTCGGGGGTGGCATACGAGCTAATTTTCCTCATTTCCTCCAAGCAAAATTGCCGGATGCAAGTACCCAAAAATCCATCCACGCATACGCCGATCGGTGGCCCCGCCGTTTTGGAGCCGATCGGTCCAGCACGTTTTCGCCTGGTCGGGCGGTCCATAGAGATCGAGTTTGCGGCGGCAAGCCGCCGTCATCATATCCACCATGCCCGGCCAGATCGGATCGTCCGTCTGCAAACCACAGCTCATTGTATGATGTTATTTGGCTTAGTAAAAAAATAGCGGCACCGAGCCACTCCACCTCCCAAAAAAACACGTTACGCTCACAAGGAGACGTTTTTGAGTTTAGTAGAAACTAGTTATATATCACCCAGGTTTAGGTTTAGGTTTTTTCAGGTTTAGCGTTTTTGAGCTGCAGAGCTTTTCAAGTGCTTAGGCGGATCATTTGGCAGATTCTGAAAATTGCAGTTGCCTCAGCGAAAAATTTGCCCAAAATAAGCTTAGCTACTCAAAATCTTAACTTAACTCAAAACAACCTTACAAAAGCGAACTCTTAACGCGTGTTTTCTTAAATTTTTTAGCGCTCATAAGCAGCAATAGGAACGCCTACACACTTCGAATTTTGTCAATGACCTTCGATCGCCAATCAAAAACTGTATGTCTTTCCGGTTGCCTCTTCTTAGCTCTCTTTACCTGTTCCGCGCGTGTAAATTCAAGTGATGTGTGTGTCAAATGATATAGCGGTATTTCCATTTTATTCACGGAGAGAAGATTTAGTCCAGTTTTATTGGGTCTTGTTGGATCCGGTGGCACAGTTCGCTCGGCCAATTTTAAGTGTTGTCGGATGTCGTAGACGTGATTTCTGAAGAGAAGCTTTGAGCTTGATTTTAAGGAAGGTTTTTGGACCGAAATTCATATTTTAAAGTCTCATCCGCCCTATATCTCTTCTAGTTGAGCCATTTAACTACTGACAAAAATAAAAATTACACAAATCGAATTTCCCACCCATTCGAAAAAGACCGTCTTCTACCCCTAGGTTATTAACTAACTTCGCTGAATCGCGAAAACAAAAAAAAATGAAAAGGTTTCCCTCTGTCCCTTTATTCAGGCTTTCGCAATTTCCGGCGGATGCCAATTTCTACCAACCCAAGAAGGTCCCCGAAAATTTGACAAATCCCTGAATTTACCGTCGAAAATCGCTGTTTTTCTAAAATCTGATATGTGTGCACTCTTCCCAGGCGCATTACACATCGAATGAGGTATCATACGTGCCGTAAAATTTATCCCTTTATCGAGATACTACTGGAACGCGCTGACCGAAGTGGCAAACAAAGTTTGACCCACACGCAAACACTATTTTTTATATATCGTAGGATTTACCATGCCCTCAAGCCGCAGGAAGCCCACGTTTGTATCGGCAGAGCCCGTCATCACAGCCCATGCTTAGTGCTTCTTCTAAAACCATTGGTGCGGTTGAAAAAAAGAAAACGACCTCTGCCATTCATTCTTTGCCAGTTGTTTGGGAAGTAGCATCGTGCACACGTGGCATGTCCCATTTTTTTTATTTGATCCCTCGACACGCAGAGGTTTCTCTAAAATGAGTTGTTGAGAAACGAGTGCTTTCTCATTAACGGGGGGGGGGGAAGAGGAACCTAATTTTTTCCTATAAGCCCAGGAATGGCTAGTAGCGTAATATTGATTGCTTTAGCGTTTTTAGACAATTTGAGCGCCGTCTCTCAAGCGTTATATTACGATTCCAATCTCAAACCTCACACATTTTTACAATGTGTAAGAGTCGATCCCTTTTTCCTTTTTCATAAACTTTAGCAATTTCGCGCTACGTAAAAGTAAAAACAATTTGGAGGCAATTTTTCTATTAATATTGGTAACATTGGATGCTAAGGAAACCCACCTTTATTCGTTCCAATAGGGTTTTTAAGACTATTTTTAATGCTCTGCAGACTATTTTTCCGCAATTTTTCGTTTTTTTTCGCTTATGTTGGAATTTTGTTAGAAAAAAATTATTCGGGGCCTCCCAAAATTTTTTTCTGGCTACGCCCTTGCTTATGAGCCACGGCCGGCTACTAGACCACGACAACCAAAAAGGTGAATTTTGAGATAATAGGTTCCGGGAGCCCCCTGGAAAAATCTAATAACTTTTTAAGGGGGCGGGGGGGAGTTCCGCCAAAAAATAATATTTAAACCTCATATTTACTTTCTTTTCTATTGTTTGATGTATGTTACATCGTGATTTGCGACCTAGGCCAAAAACACTACCCTCGTAAGATTTTTTGCGAATGGGAAAAGTGACAAATGGAGCCCGCAACGGTATTGGCAAATGCTGTTATTGCAATCGATTGACAAAGAGGAAAACCCGTGAACGGAAAACATTAGCTCTGGGGTTGGAATCACGCCGTGCACACTTTAAAGCTTTTCTACTGCTAGTGCCTACTCGAATAGGTTGTAAAGACTGTAAAAATGAGTCTGACCTGCTTCATATCCTATATTATTATGACGCATCCGTCAATTACAAATTCCCTGTTGGCGGCCTGGAGTATTAGCTGCGTTACCTAAAATGAATGCTTTAGCGTGTGTGATTTTATCCGGTCTTTGCCACTTTAAGGACTGTTTTTTCAATGTCAATGTCGGCAAAGCCATTCGAGACCCAGCTCCTCCGAAAGAAAATGGAATTCTGCACAACCTCTCGTTGTTCATTTTTGTGGGATGGCTGTCTAGCCTTACAAAATAAAAAACCTAAAAAATATTGCTTTTAGGGCTTTTGGCCTTGGAGTGGTTTTTTGGTAAGGTCAAAATTCTGGAGACCGTTCTCACAAAACTTTCACTTGGACTTACGTCGTTGGCAGTGATGGCAAAGTTCGACGCTGTAGAACGCGGCGTTTCGACGGTGCCGCTGTGGTGACCAAGCTGTGATTCTAACGGGTGAATTAGTGGCACCAGCTTCCTAAAGAAAGAGGTTCCGCAAGAATCCTACTATATATAAAAAAATAGTGTCTGTGTGTGTGTGTGTATGTGTGTTCATTTGCATGCAACTTCCGTCAGCGTGTTCCAGTAGTATCTCGATAAGGGGGGCAGTTAGGGCTATGTTTTACACCTCATTAAGTGCGTAATGGCCTTGGGATGACTGCACACTAATCAAATTTTCAAAAATTTGCTGTTTTCGACGTTAAAATTAAGTTTTTCGTTGAAAAATCGAGAGCCATCTTCGTTAGGAAGCAATTAGCATATGCCGGAAGTTGCGGTAGCCTATATAAGGGAGGAGAGGTAATGTTTCTCACTTTTTGTCATCGAAAATCGCGAGAATCATGCAAAGTGAAGAATATCATGGGATCAGACGGGGCCAGGGTTGAAAAGTTGCAAAGCGGCTTTTCAACCCTGGTGGTAAATAATCTGTGAGCGTAGAAGTACCTTTTTAATCCTCCGATCATTGCCTCCAGACGCACCGCGCCTCATTCCCGGTACGTTCCATCGGGCAATTTCTCTACCGTGTAGATTTCCGTTTTCACGTCGGCGCGTAGTGCTGCGGCATCCGCGCTGGAGTTCATCTTCGTTTTCGGCTGCGAGTACATCCATGTAGAAAAAATCTGCATGAATTCGGTATTCGGTAGTTTCGCCGGGCGCTTGCGATATCTAAAGGGTTTGACGTCCTATTTCTAACAGGTCAACCACCTTGCTGCAGGTGACTGCGACCAAGTGGTTGTAGCTGGTCTCGGCGTCAATTGTACTAGCTCCACGTCTAAAACAATGTGCTTAGCCCCTAGAGGCATAAGCTCCGAGCATTCGATCCATAATGCTTCGAGGCGCTGCGTTCCCGTTGCGGTTGAGCCGCCGCGACATTCCAGTCCCGATCATGTGCTCCATAGCGTGTGACACACCATTGCTGCTGTCGGGTTTCATCACTAAATAATTAACAGCGATGGTGAGATCAGATAGACTGTTACGCACGGATTGATACAAACGCTAGCCTATTCCCTAGCGAAGACCTGACCGTTCAGGTCAGGTCTTCTGACGGAGCATGCAACTACCGTATGCCAAAAAACGCTTCTGGCCACAGGGGTTCCTTTTCCGCCCATATGTATGGCGGTTTTGTGGGGGAAAATTTTTGCCTCCAACGAAACGCACGCTTCCCGAACATCCGAATCTTGCAGCCACGATTTGTTTCATGCTCCCGGTCTATGAAAATTACCCGCCAACGCCGTGATCTGCGTGACCGGCTTGTTTCTGGCGAAGTTGAAGATGTTGACGCCAGTCTCCAGGGATTCACAACGTAACAGCTAAAATGAATTGAGTAGGCAAGTCCGCAACGGCATCGAGTGCCGCAAATTATAAAATGTTCGTCATGATCTGGGTCGTAAACGACGCACCTTTGTCCCATTCGACATCAGGTATGAGCTGTGGGCGAATTTTTTCGATCAATCGACGCTGTGGTCGATGAAGTGGGCTCCATTTTTCCCTGCGCACGGCAGTCGTGTTTTCCGCATCCTGAAAGATCGTACTGGGTTCTAATTAAAAACAAAACGAAAAATTGATTTTTTGGCTGTGATCGGAGGGCTTGCAAAGGGGTTTCAATAGCCTCCCCGTAAATAGCCAGCAACGGCCGCAACGCAGTCCGCCGGCTGCAAAACACAGCCTCCGTTGCAAGGCAAATTTTATCGTTCTATCGCCATTCTCGAATCCTGGGGCAATCTGGCCCGGATTCATGGAAGGTATAAAAACTCTGTAAATAAAAAATAGTTTGTATTAAAAACAACAACAACAACAAACTGACTTTAGAAATTTTCATAAGGCTCGAAGAGCAGAGGGCTCGCGGATGCCGCCGCGTCGGGTCTCCGGGAGAACCGGTCATAGAAAAATAAATCTAGGCTGAATCGGCTAAATATTTTTATGTGCTATAGTAGCATCTTAGACTGAACTATGGGTGTAAAAATCCCGGCGGCCGGGTGGTAAACATTTTTACAAAACCGGTTTCAAGATCGATTGTAAAGGCTTTCGGTCCAGCCTGATATTTCAACCATAGTTTTATGCTATAGAACTTTTACCTGTTTTTGGTGCTGAAAATAATTCTCTTAGTATATTTTTGACTTTCTATCGAATGGCGTCTTAGCCAACATAAAAAATCTCAAAGATCTGGGCTCACTCGTTATCCTATGGTCTGCCCATCGTTTTGGACCATTTCTTCTTTATTCAAAGAAACTTTTATATACATTTTTTAGTTTTAAAATCATTCTGCTAGGATATTTTTCGACGCTCTATCGCACGGCACTAGCGGGATCCCATAGTAATTTACAATATGTGAAATATTCTGTGCCTTGTATTTTATCTCCCCACCCCCCATTAACCTATGTGTTCCGCCTAGAATGCATCGCCCCTAGAGATCTCGTCCGGAAATGGTGACGGAAGTTACATGCAAAGGGCCACACACAGACTGTTTTTTTTTTATTAAAACGATCGACGTTTAAAGAAATTCGAAACATAAATTCAAGAAAAAAACGTTCGCAAAATTCAAGCAAGTTCTTACGAGAAAAGGTTTTTTGAGCTCGCCCCGTTATTGCTACAAATGATACACCATTCGATCGCGAACTGAAAATAAATATAGTTATTGAATATCAGTTTTTGCCCCAGAGATTTCCTTAAAAATATATATAGCCTAAGCTTTTCAACAATTTCTAAAATTTTCTCCGTGGCGCAACGTAGCAATATCCGGCCGACCTCAAAAAAGCCTTTTCTGGTTAGATAATTTGACTTTTCCGCTTTTTTTGCCGAAGGCCGACGTAGCGGCTCTAACCTAAAGCTGCCCGATACCCCGTAATCTATCAGATAATGACGTAGTAGCCGACAGACACAAAAAATTCACTCTAATAAGGGAGAAAATCAGAAAAATGCGTCTATCCTTGCTAGCTTTAAATATTTTTAGAGCGAAAATTCTGTTCAATTCACCGACCATGTCATTCCTCGTCCCTCTGATTGATGGGCGCGACGGCAGACATCAAAGTTTCCCATTCGTTAATGGTCTTTTGCATAGGTTTTCATTTTCCTAAAACACAAATTGGTATTCCCCAATTTCAAAGTTGACCGTACCTTTAAACTTTCATCTCGGTTTTTGCCTCTTTATGAAAAATTGTTGAAATATTTGACCGATAGTTGAAGGATTCAACACCGATATGGCGCCCCGTCGAAGAAGGCGCTGATGGTCTCGGAATAATCACCCAAATCGGGGCCGGAGCCTGGAATTGAAAAAACCATGAAGGAAATAAAATTAACTCCGTCAATGGGTTGAAGTAATATTGCTCGAAACTGGAGTTCGTTTGACGGCGAATTAGGCAAAGAGAGAGAGAAAGTGAGTGTGAAAGAAAATGAGAGAGAGAGAGCGAGAGAGAGTGAGAGAGAGAAAGAGAGACAATCTAGAGCTGTCGGAATCGATTTGCGGAATGCGGGTTAGATGGCATTGCTCGGAAAAACAATCGCAAGAAGGCTATGAATAAGCGCGCGGACACAAGCCGCCGCGCGATGTTGTGTGGGGGCATATATTGATTTGACACTGTGGAATCCTCATCATTTTCCTTTTTATTCGCGGGGAGAGTATTATTTTTACGCTTAAATACATGAATCATTGGAGGAGAGAGAGCGAGAGAATGAGGGAGAGAAAGAAAAAAGAAAAAAGAAAGAAAGAATGAGAAAGAGGCAGAGCGAGAGAGAGAGAGAGAGAGAGTGAGAGAGAGAGATAGGGAGAGATAGATAGAGAGAGAATTTTGAGGTGAGTTGTAAGTATCGTCTAAATTAAATTTTTTGTGCGTTAGTCTGGCTGGCAAAATTAAAACGGAAAGATCGCATGGACCGCGGAAAATGACAGCTTTACGCTTTGCAGGCAAGAAACAGAGGGTTACGGTAGTTGTGGAAACCCGGCCACTAATCCTGGGACGGAAAGGAAGGCGATCGGATTTGCAATGGTTAGGAATCAGGAGGAAGAGCGAAAGAGAGAGAGCCCGAGGGAGAGAGAGAGAGAGAGAGAGAGAGAGCGAGAGCGAGAGAGAGAATCTGGAGCTGTCGGGATCGATTCGGGTTGATGGGGTAGATATTGGGGGTTAGATGGCATTTCTCAGAAAAACAGTGGCAAGAAGGCTATGAATAAGCGCGCGTACAGAAGCCGCCGCGTGATCTTGGGCAGGGGCGGCATATATTGATTTGCCACGGTAGACCCCCAGGGGCAAAAATCATTCCCTTTGTCATTCGCAGGAAAGGTATTATTTCGATGTCTAGATACATCAATCATTGAAGAGAGACAGCCAGGGAGAGATCAAGAGCGAGAAAGAGAGAGACAGAGTAAGGGAGACAGAGAGAGCGAGAGAGGGAGAAAGACGAGCGAAGTTTCTGGTTGGTTCGTTTTTGAATTGGATGATCTTGCTTGCCCCGGAATACGAATAGGGAAGCGGCCGGGGGGGCTGGGGGAGCGTGGGAAAATCGTCCCATCCTAGACACCCATTTTCGAACGGAGCGTGTTGTTGGCATGACTAATCGGAGGGCAAGGGTATCCAGCATTGGTTGAGTGAATAATCGAACGCGGAAATTTGGAAAAACGCGGATTTTGATTCGTAAGAAATCACAAATAATCATAAAATCACTTGTCTTTACAAATGCTATTTTGTTTTTGTGCAATTCCGAGGCCTCGGTCACTGGTTAATCCAGGTTGAAGGAATTCTTACCAAAGTTGGAAGACAGCTTAGGCAAATAAAAGGCTATTCTTTCGTATTAAAAAATCATAGATCAGCATTGGGCTATCGAGGGACAAGTAGGATTCAAATATCGAGTATCGAATCGAGTTGGCTTGAAAGAGTTCAAACCGAACATCAATGAATTGTGATTAATGATAGAATTTCATAAAAATAAATTTTTTAAAAAATAAAACATGAAATGCATACGATCGTTTTTCATAAAAAGGATATAACAAATTAGTTATGGTGCATGGAAAATTCAGTACCACGACTTTAACCCCGGAGAAAATCCCAACGTTTTCTGTGCATTGGGGCGAGGGGTGGGCTACGGTGGGCGGGGGGGGGGCGAACGGGGCGGAGCGAGCCCGTGTCGGCAGCCAACAACCAATACAAAGAGAAGGCGCGCAAGTGGCAAAACAAAAGGAATTAGTAGGCGATCTTGAATTCAAAATGGCGGGACGGAGTCATCTTGCGGGAAAAAGAGACAGGGGGAGAGAAAGAAAGAGAGAGGGCAGAGAACGGGAGAGTGAGAGAGAGAGAGGGAGAGAGAGAGAGCGAGCGATTCAGATACAGCAAAAATCCAGAGACAATGGCTGGCTTAATGGTCTACGGAGTATTCGCCCTGATAAAAACATTCAATCCTCCAATGCCACTTTTGCTGATAGTTTACTGAAAAGTTGAAAGTAACGACTTTTTGACGACTTTCCTGGCCCTGCTAGATTCGCATTTATAAAACTTTGCAAGCTTCGCATTTTATACTATTTGCTATCCGAAAGTGTGTAGTGCGTTTTTTCATCTTAAGAAACTGATGTTTCGTGACTGATGATTCATGCATCTAAGTATGAAAATATACCTCAAAGCGAATGACAAAGGGGATGATTTTCCACCTGAAGGTCCAAAGTGTCAAATCAACATATGCCTCCACACAACATGGCGCCCCGGTTTCCGTTCGCACGCTTACTCATACCTTTCTTGCTACTGTTTTTCTGAGAAATACCATATATCCCCCATTTCCCGAATCCATTCCCGGCGGCTTTAGATTCTCTCTCTCTCTCTCTCTTTCTCTCTCTCCCTCTCTCTCTCTTTCTCTCTCTCTCTCTCTCTCTCTATCTCTCTCTTTCTTGCGCTCTCTTTCTCTTTCTCGCTTTCTCTCTTTCTCTCTTTCCCGCTCTCTCCCTTTCTCTCTTTCTATATCTCTCTCTGGCTCTCTCTCTCTATCTCTTTCTCACTCTAAACCAACAGGAAGCTGACAAGGGAGCCCCCTAGGGCGAGGTGGCGTTTCGTTATGGGACCCACCTACAGTAGGGCTTCCCGTCGGGAGATCGTTTGGTGCTTGAGAACCACAAGCCCAAATTTTATGAAACTTTGTGTCTAGGTCAATTCGGCTGCGCAGAATCCGATGGCAACATTGAAATCTACTGGAAAATAGTGATTTTAATGGTCAATCTTCGATTTTAAAAAATCCGTTAAATAAACTTTTTAATGAGGGATTTTCGAGTTTCAAAAATGTGTCCATCGTGTTCGCAAGGGTCAAAACCCCCTAGTCCCTTTTTGGACGACACTTTTGCTGTCTGGGCCTGACCATACCGACGGCCGAAAGTTGCTGTCGCGCGGGCCAAACTCCCTTGGATAGGCTTACCGGGCCAGGAAATCGCCCCGCGGCGACAACTTCT